AGGGATTTCTGCCTTCCCGCATCCCCATCCCTCACCGCGCAGAGCCGCAGCACCGATGCGGACCGGCGCTAGACAAAGCCATCCTCCCAGAAACATCCCCCCGAACCCTCGGCGAGCGCCCGGCGCCCTCCCCGCTCACCCAGGTGGGACATGGACACGGTGCTGTTGCCGAAACGGGCCTCGTTGTAGATGACCACGGCGGCCGCCCGCTTCCGCGCCGCGTTGGTGACCTTGTCCTTGAAGGTGCAGCCGCCGCGGGCCACCAGGGCGATCCAGGGCTGCGGGTCGACCTCGGGGGGCCCGCGGCCGCCGGGCGGCAGCGGCACGTCGTAGTCGGTGTCGGCGGCGCAGCCCTCCATGTGACGGGGCGAGGCGCCGCGGGGGATGCCCACCAGGCCCTGGGCGCTCTCCTTGGGCGAGCTGTCCCCGTAGCGGCCGCTCTCCGTGTTGCCGCGCACGGTGCGGTTGCTGAGCGGCTCCACGTAGGCCGTGCTCACCCACGCCGTGTACCACTCCAGCGCCCGGGCGCCCGCGCACGGCGGCGGCGGCACCCCCAGCGCCACCAGCGCCGCCGCCACCAGCGCCAGCCGGGCGCGCCGCACCATGGCCCGGCCGCCCCCGCCACGGACACGAGGAGTGTGAGGAGGTCGCTCCGCCGCCGCCGCCGCCGCGCTCTGCCCCGAGGCCGCCCCGCGCCGCGCAGGTACCAGCAGTGCCGCCCCAGGCGGAGCCCGCCCGCCACCGCGGCTGATGGCGAGCAGGGGGCCGGGCCGCCCCGCCCCGCGGCATGACGGGAGAGCGGGGGGGGCCGGGCCGGGCGGGCGAGCGCGGCGTGGGGACTGAGGCGGCCGGGGCGTTGCGACACCCAGAGAGTCGATTACCTTGGAAAAGACCTTCGAGATCATCGACTCCAATCTATGACCGAACCACCCTGTCAACCAGACCATGGCACTAAGTGCCACGTCCATTCTTTCCCTAAACAACTCCAGAGACGGTGACTCCACCGGTTCCCTGGGTAGCCCATTCTGATGCTTAATCACGCTTTCTGTGGAGCAATTACTCCTATCCTCCTATTGTCCAACCTAAACCTCGCCTGGCACAGCTTGAGGCCATGTTCCTCTTGTCCTGTCACTGGTTGCCTCGTAGAAGAGGCTGCCCCCCACCTGGCTGTAGAGATAAGTGATAAGGTCTCCCCTGAGCCTCCTTTTCTCCAGGCTAAACAACCCCAGCTCCCTCAGCCACTCCTCATAAGACTTGTGTTCCAAACCCTTCACCAGCTTTGTTGCCCTTCTTTGGACACTCTCCAGCCACCTTCAATGTCCCTCCTGAATAGAGGAGCCTGGAACCGTACACAGTACTTGAGACGCAGTCTCATCAGTGCCGAGTACAGGGGGAGAATCACTTTCCTGGTCCTGCTGGCCACACTGGTCCTGATACAAGAAGATGCCATTGCTCCCGGTCAGACTGGGGCTGGTCTGGGGGCGCAGCTCAGCCCCCTGCGCGAAACCAGTGCCTGAAGCGCCTCCTGCACAGAGAGTGTCCGCTGCAGCCAACTTGGGGCTGCTTGGCCTTGGACCCTGGGATGGGCGTCAGTCCCGAGTCCTGTCTATCAGCCTGAGCAGTGACATATGTGTGAAGTTAAATGAGTCACTACTGAACACTCCAGGGCACACCTCGCCCTCATTTGAGGGTGAAGTATGACCTCCTGAGGAGTGGAAGGAGGCTGAAGCGCCAGAAGCAAGGACAGACAGAAAGAAGGAGTGGTCAGAAGCCAGGAACAGAGCGGTGCACAGCCATGCAGGGGAAAGGGGTCGGAGCTATGCACATTCAGATATAAATGGTACCTGTGCTGTTGTGCTGAGGGGAGCTCACTTCAGAAGGATGAAAATGGTGAAAGAGTCAGTACTGTGTCTGGAGGAAAACGTATTTAAATAAAAAATGAAGGTACTGAAAAAACATGATCATTCTATGGATTCATTTTCCATTAGAAGTATTTGACATATATCTCTTCTTAAATAAATACATTTAAAGTCTTACCTATTCTTTCACAGAAGACATCTGCACCTTTTCCCAGCTTCTGAAATAAATTGCTTGTTTTCATGAGCCTTTTTTAAATAGTCTCATATACGCGTTTTCCTTCGGAAGTCAACAACTGTGTGATTCTATACTGTTACCTATGCTGTCAAACAACATTGTCAAACTTTGTCAATGTCCTTCCTAATCATGATTATATGTTGGGGCTGCTGAGGCAGATAGGGTCTAGTAGAGCCTGGAATAGTTTGTGCAGAAGATATTGTCAGCAAAAGCCATGAGCTCAGTGAACTGCCCTATTCTGTGTCAACATCAAGAACAATATGTTCCCATTTCTGTTCCAGAGTAAGTGTTTAAACAAACAAACTAACAAACACCTTCAAACTCAATGTATTCCTTAAAGCAACTCTTTAGCGTTCTACCAAAATAACACTTGGCAATGTTAGGACTCTCTCCAAAGGCACTGAGCATTGTGAAAACAAGTTTAAAGTGGCAAAATCAAGACAACAGACAAGACTGAGCAGACAGAGTAATGTGGAAGGAGCTGTGGAGAAGTTGGAAGTTGAAGGAAGAACACAGTAAAACTAGAGTTAACAAAAAAAATAGGGAAAAGAGGATAAGGAAACTGAGGAGCATATAACAGAATGTTAGAAGGGAGAGGGTGTGTGGAGGTGGTAGCAGAGAAGAGGCAAGTAAAAGGTGAGCTGCACTGAAGTACTACAAGTAACAGGCAATTCAGAAGAAGCACAAATTCAAATTTTGCTTGGCAAAAAAAAACAGATTAAAAAAAAAGTAACAGTACTTTAGTGATTCCAAAAATGTTCAAATTAGATTTTTTTGTAAGTAAGTGAAAGACACTTGGTATAATCAGAACAGACTTCACTCTGGAAATGACACAAAAGTGAAAAGAGTAATTAAAAAGGAAAAGAACAGCTGCAGGAAATGATCTTTTAAAAATATGAGTTACTGGAAATAGGAATTTGATGTTGACTGTGATTTGTACAGGTTAGGGAACTGTTGTCATGGTTCTCACAGTGAATGTAGTCCAACCAGGAGCAAGAGAAAGTCTTAAGGTGTGAATAGGTAACACAGGCTGTTATTCTATTCTAACATATGTTGCTATTCTATTTTATTCTGTTCTATAACCTTTATTGGATATTAAATGGGAATTTTAGTATGAGAGGCTGAATTTTGTTGGAAGGAGATGGTGCAGAAAAGCAAGATGAAAAGGTAAATTGTCATCCTTGGCTTTGAGAAAATATGGGCAGAGGAAATTGGATGGCAGAGAGCAAGCTGTAACAAGAACTTGTAAGAGCAAGGCTGGCAAGGGAAGAAATAGCACTGAGGAAACTTCCAAAACACCATTAATGCACACCCGAGAGATGAGAGCTCAGTCCCTACATGCAGAAAAGAAGAGAGAACTTCAAAAGTTACATTTAACTGTCACAGTGAAAGCTCACGGTAAAGAGATGATGAAGGAATGATAAAAGGTGCTTGGCTAGGCTTTTTTCACTAGAGAAAAGGCAGATCTGAGTCTCAGTTCCCATAAATATTTTGAGAGAAATTAGCTTGGTTCAGGAAAACTTGGGGGAAAAAAGTAGATGTTCAGGTCAGATAGAAATTATAACGGTTGTTAGCAGAAGGTCAGTTACTCTGGCTAATGATGTACTGAAAAATATTCTAATACAGTTTCCACTTTTAAATTTGTTTTATTTGTATTTTTTCTCCATGGGCATTTTGTTAACAACTTTCAATATTTTTAGAAATCAAAATACATTGCAAATGACAATACATATCCAGAAATGAGACAGGTTGCATTTCATCCACTGAAGTGATGAAAATTTCATCAGAAACGGAGCATTCTTTGGTTAAATAAGAACAGCAGTTCAAACTAGCTGTACTTAAATGCTGTACATGCATTACTTTTGCACAAATTAGCAAAAAGTGAGAACCCAACTTTTCAACTTTGTTTTCCTTTTTTCAGCAAGTATACAGAAATGACTAAATACATCTCTTAAATATTGCAAAACCACAGTTAGAGTTTTAAACATGTTGCACAACAAGGTTTTTTGGGGAAGCTACAGAAATAACTAAAAAAGAGAACACTTAGAAATTACACATCAGCTAGTTGAAATGCTTAATGAATTCATAAGAGCTTATCAAGACCTTCTATGAAATGCTTGTTTGATGTAATGATTAAAGCACAACAAATAAATGGTATTTTTATTTTTTGCTTGATCTGAAGCAAGATCAGACTCCACAGTCTTAAGGAACTATGATTTTATTATATTTCAAATAACACTCTTTGGGTTAAAAGCTTTCACAAATAACACCATGTGATGACCAATATCACTTGAGACATTCGTCAGTTTAAAGAAAAACTGGTATTCGCATATAAATAATAATGTAAATCCCAATTAAGCAAACTACTATCACCTCCCCTTTTTTTGGTCTGGAAAATTCCATTCAAAAATCTGCAGGTCATATTTTTGATAAATTTCTACACACTTTCAAGGACTTCTATGGTAGCTATTCCTTGGGTGAAGGAAGCATGAAATGAGAACAGGTGATTTAAGACAGCATTTCTTCACGAAGCTCCTTTTGTCACTTTACATGCCATCACCATTTCATGTTTTGAGGTTCTCTCAAGAGCCTCATGGCTGGTTCATATAGAAAAACTTCTTGATGAATGTGTCACTTTACAATACAGAAGTTACTCCAATTAATCTATGTATCCAGGGAGACAGCGTAAGCAGGTAGGGTGTTGTAAATTCAAAACCTTTTTCAGTACACACTAACTTCTTAAACCATTAAAGCTCTACTGGACATCATTGACACAATGCCTTACTGCTTCAAGGCAAGTTAATAAGTTAATGAATACGACACAAGACTATGTTACTGTTGCCAGGGGACGTAAGTGAAATTGAGAGTATAGTAACAGCAGCATTTCTAAAATTCTTCCTCTCTTCTTCAACTTGTTTAAACATTAACTTTTTACTCTGAATTTGTGTGTATGTGTTTAGGGGTGGGGCACAGAAGAGGCATTTCAGGCTCTGGAAATAGTAGTGAACTGGGATAATGAAACATGTAATTATAGTTTCACGGAAATGTTACACCTGCAGAAATTCCCTTACAAGGTTTAGTACTCTTCCTGTTGAACTCAGATTTAGAAGTCCCATTAATCCTAATGGGTAAAGTTATCAAATCCATAGTGGACAAAGATCTCCGTGGCAAAATGATATGAATCAAGGAGGATTTCACTTGATGATATTCTATACTTGTATAGGATGGGCCATTTTGCTTCAGTACTACACAGTGCAAGATTCAGGGGCAAACTCAAATGGGAAAATGCTACTTATCTGCCAAGAAAAAAAAAAGAAGGAAATAGATTGAGGCAGGATGCTTCCTCCTTTTGTGTAATTACCTCTGCAAAAGATCTGCACTGCCAACAGAGTCTCTGGCAATAAGACAAGGGAAAAAAAAAAGCTTAGTGAGTATCTAAACAATGTTTTCCCCTCTCCTTTGCATTTGATTCTTACAGAATATCAGGAATGATAGTGATGTGTGGAGTCCTGAACTTACCCAAGGGCTAAGTGGCCCCTGGTAGTTAAACCAGCATAGTGCCCAGCACTGTTGTGGGAACGACTCCCTCTCTCTCTGCCCGAACCAAAATAAGCTCAGCTACACTTAATTGGCTTCCAGCTGATCATGGCTCACACAGCTGCCTCTGAGCTCTGCCCAGGGATTAACCTGTACAAGCTCGGGCCACTCGCCCAGGCACCCAAGTTCCTCCCCAGCCCAGATGTGGTGTGGACTGATGTCTAGAGCTCAGGTGCACTCCCAGGGATGCTGGAAGACCTTCCCCACAGGCACAGATACCCCATCTCAATGTATTTCTTTCTTATATGTAACAGGGAGAACAGCTGTATCATTTTCAAACTGTGTAGTGACTTGGCTGGTTAGCCACGGGAACTTTCTGTGATATCCTTAGGAACTGCAGAGTAAATTTTCCAGGAGGACATCTAGAGAAAGGGCTGAAGGTGATTAAAATACCTTTTAACTCTTCTGGTATTATCACATGAGATGCCTATTAATAATGTGTTGCAACAAAGTTTTCACCTTCCACACTAGGAAAATGAGTTTTTTGTGGCCTGAAATACCTAATATATTTTTTAAAAAATAAATTCTTTAAAAATATAAATGCATGAACAAGCCCTTTAAATCTTGGTAAGGAAACAGAGTTAAGGGACTGCTCCACCCCTCAGTGAGTTAGTGAGGGTTTACAGAAAATCAGTTGCACAAACGAGTTAAAAATAAAGCAGTAGCTGGAGAAGGGAGGCAAAAGAAATTGGGACTACAGGCTATTAAAAATACTTTTCCTGCCTCAACAGGAATAGGCTAGCTGGGAACATTTACTTAAATTCTTCTTATGACAGTGTTTATACTTGTATTGAGATAATCCTCGTAGGGCTGATTTGATTTGGCCCTTAATGTGTTTAACCAGCTTTGTGTCAGTGAGAAACGAGTTATGTTGGAGCTGCGTTCTTTGAACTGTTTGCATTTTTTCTACTAAAATGGAGAAGTTCTACTCAATTTCCAAGTGAAATATCAAATTATCTAACTAGGGAAAAGCACACGTAGAAAATACAAGTTAGCAAAAGAGGACAGCTTTAGCATAACATTTTTTAAGAACTTAAATACCTAAATTTGCAGCTATTCAGTTTCTCTTAGAGTATGTACAAATCAAAGGAGACCAAACAGCAGTAATATCTCCACAATGCATAGATGGTTCTGAGTAGGCAATTTGCTTTTTCAGAATATTATATTTAGCACATACTGTAGTTTCCCTGTGGGTGCACAGCAATAGAAGTCAAAACAAACAGATATGAAGCATTTTTAAACAGCATTTAAGATGACGCGTTGCCTGCTTGAAATGACAAGTTTGTACATTGCAGGGTAGGGCTAGTATCCGCCACTCCTTTATAATTTGAAAGTCTGTGTTGATTTATTTTCACTCTGCTCTATGTCAGACAGGGCTATTTTGAAGCCTTTTGGGAAAAGAAAAGAAATATCACTGTAAAGTAACCATCCAGCATGAAATTTTAAAAGTGTTTGGAAAGGAAATTCAGGAGATTTCTATCTCAAAGCACATTCAATCACCCTTTACTTGGAACCGCTTTTAAATACTCTTCTACTGCAATGGCAGAACCTTCTCCATACCAGCTTTGAAGCCAGATGTGCTCAATGTTCATTTTCATGAAGAACCACTCATAGCTACGAGGCCACTTTCTTACCACTGGGTGCCTGGAAAGACAAAGAAAAGGGAAAAAAAATTAAAAGATGTGCCAAAGCATATGCATAGTCTCCTTTTTTCTTCAGTTCAGTGTGTTCAGCCAGAGGGAAACCTGAGATCCGAGAACCACCACTATTCATCTTTTTGGCCCTCCCTTGCTGTAAGGTTTATGATCTTCCACACCCCAGTCCGGGGAGAACTGCAACACAGGCAGCCAGCAAACACCACCTTCCCCATTGCAGAACCCCATCTCTAAAGGCAGATGTTGTTGGTCTCTAACTAAGTGAAAAATAGTTAGAGGAGACTGAATGTGTGTCAGGCTTGTGCTTGTACCTGTTCAAAGGAAACAGTGTTCTGAAAATACTACACCTTTGGTAGCAGTTGTGGTGTGGCGGGAGAGCTAATAAAACTGGGTAGCAGGTAGAGCACAGACTCTGAGCTGTCAGCTCCTACAGCTCCTGCAGTCCCTTGGAGCACCTATGACTGTGGCATTGACAAGTGGTTCCAGATGCTGCTGGCACCGGATAGGGTGTGCCCAGCAGCCCTCACCCTGTTGTTCTGGCTTTTGCACCCCGACAATGGAGCATTCTCTGCGGAGGTGCTGCTGGACTGTGGCACACATAGAAATCTAATTTCTACAAAGTTTGTAAAAAAATGCTCCTGTGCCAAGATGGCCCCGCCTGTCCGCGGCCTCGGTTTTGCTACTGATGGCACCCACTGACAGAGTCCCACCCTAACCCCTTCCCATGGGTCAGAGAGAGTATTGCCTCTGGGCTGTTTTGGATCACAGCTCATCCCAGTTTCCCAGCAATGTTTGATTGACCAGGCAAGGTGTGCCTGGAGGACCATCTCTGGCAGCCTGTGTGGGAGGTGCATGCCCTAGCTAAGGTTCAGGCTTTTCGTGCCTGTAATTCTGGAGACCCACTGGAGGGCATGGAGGCACACCCTCTTTGTGTGTGTACACCTCTGGGTTGTGCTCGCATCTTTCAAAGGAGACTGTTCGGTAAGTACTGTGGCTTTGCAGCAGCTGGTATGTCAGAAGAGGCAATAAAACCCATAAGCTCCACCCTGAAAATATTTGTAAGCCCAAAGGCAGCAGAGCTCTGCTCTGTCCCTGAGTAGGAGGCTGTAGCTGAAGAGCAATACCTGTCCTAAAGTGGGGTAGAATCATTAAAGATAACAAATACACCCTGGATTTATGGAATGTCTCCTTGCAACCAGATGAAATATTTTCATAATCTCCAGATTATAAACTACATGCCTTATGAGAGTCCAATACTAACTAATTGCATTTCCATATTTCGTTTCCTCAAGAGTTAAAAGGAAGTCTGTCATTCCAAACCACACAGGAGCCAACATGCTTCATGGCCCCAAAGTAAAGATCAGGCTTGTTACTTCTCAGATTTTCTGTACCACATTTGTATATTTGTCTCAAACCTGTGGGTTGCACTCTACTGTGTGCCTGTTAGATACAGACCTGGAAAACACTGCTTGCTTGGCAAATTCCACTTCCTCCGGAGGCACCATGACCATCTGTCCCATGAGAGTCAGCCTGGCGCACCTCAGATCCTCTGGATCAATTACATTTTTTCTGTGCACAGAGAAAAATGCTTATGAGTAATAGCTTGATTTCTTTCTTAAGGGTTTTGGAGAAATGTGAACTCCTGCTCACATATAGAAAGCCTTGCAAGTCTTTTCTACACCCAGCTATACCATCTGGTGGAGGGGGGAGATCTTGAAGGAATAGTTGCCTGACACATAGATCTGTGTAGTGTTTGCTTAATCTTAATTTATGCTTACAAAACCTGGATTAATATATGTTGGCTTGTAAAAAGTATGAAAATGGCAGTTTTCCCAGACAGATGTACGGATCTGTATTCAGGATTCTGAGAACTGAGAGATGGTTACTGTGTGCCTATGCCTACAAAAAAAAGTATGAATACATGTATTTGTATGTAAAACATAAGGTCTTTTCCTTATCCTAGAAACTCAATCTTTTTTCATTTTTTATCCATTTTTCAACTACTTTACACCAAATAGACAAGATCTGTTAAAACAAATTCTCCAATTGCCTTCAGATCAAGACAGAGAAGGTACCTGTTGCTTTTTGGCTCTTCGTAAACAGTAATAATAAATAACTCCCATTAGTAGCTGCAGGGCAATTGCTGACTCTGATATATACAATACAAGCATATAAATCATAAGTAAATTGACCAATAGCAAAAACATGTTGTATGCAATGACTGCAAAGACTTGATTCTTGTGAGTGCTGAGTAGCCCCAAGTCCTGTTGCCAGTAGTTTGAGACCGCTCAGCATCTCAGGGAACCATCTCCCCATGTAAGCCCAAAAAGCTGCATTAGGAAATGAAGGCTGCGTTTCTTCTTCTCTGTGTTTAGTCAGAAGCAGCAAATCACAGTAAATTGCATCTCATCTGTGTGCAGTTTTACTTAAAGATCTTGGCTTGAGCCCTTTAGCCTTAACTGTGTGCAATCTGCAATGGCTTCATTTTTGGTTATAATTCTCAATGCGTGTTTAGTGCATGCAGGAAACATATGGACATCCCCCTGCAGCTAATTTAACACCTGCAGATTCTCTACAGATGGTTAGTAAACACTGTGTAGCTCACTGGATAAAGTACTTACTCTTCTAGAGAGGGCCATGAACAGAGATACACAAGGAAGTATAGCAGGCTGGTTGATACTTGGCTATGCCCAGTGAGCACTTGGCACCACCTGTAGCCTGACCTCCAAAAGGCCATTTGCTGTCACATGATCTCTGGGAAGTTTTTTCAGCATCCTGTTCAGTTGTCTGAAGGGGATGTTCAGCTTAACAACCTCCAGACAAACTCCACTTGTACTCTTTTTCCTCTCCCAGATTTACTGTGCAGGAGGAAGGGCAGTGGCCAAAGATCAAGCTCAAACTTTCTGTTCACATCAATGACCATTATAATGGTCTAATTTTCTCTAATAAAATTTTTTTAAACTATTATGAAATAATACACAAGTGGTGTTCTGAGTGTCTGAAAATCTGCATTCCCTACCCTGGCACTGGGTTTATTTCTGTCAGTGTGTATCTGGAACACAAATTTGTCTACATGATCACCTTGGCACTCTGTAGAACCTCAGCACTAACTCACACTGACTGCTGAAGATGTCATTTCACATCTGGCTTTCAGTGGCCTGAGAGCACCCTGTCCCTAAGGAACACAGCTCCATGCCCTAGGGACACCTCTGGCTCCTTGCATTTTTTTTGTGTAGGCTTTGGGTGTTGTGTGGCTGTTCAGCACACGTGGTCCAATGAGACTCATCCACCAAAACATGAATAAATATAGCAATACAGTATATAGAGCTGAAGAAAGAGGAGCCAAGTTCCACATACACAGGGTGTCAGCTGAGGGTCTCTGTGTCCAGCAGCCAGGGCAGTGGAGATTCACACTCTTGGAACTACGGGCCCTGGATAATGGAGTCTAAAAGTCCATTTGAGGTGATCTCCTGATCTATTGTTATCTTTTGTTCTTAACCTTAATACTGTATCAAAACCCTCCACATATGTTTATATATTCAACATATTTTTAACACATATATTGATGACAGAAGGGACTTCGCACTAGCAAAAATTCAGTTCAAAAGATTGCTTTAAAATAACTGTGTGTCCAAAAATATGATACATTTTCCTCTACAGCCTAACAGTATCATAAAACAACTGAAGAGCAAGGAAAAGTAGGAATATTTGCAAGTGTCTCTCTTTGCATAGCTCCTGGGTAAGATGCAGTTATTACTTTCAGAGAGGAATTCAAAAGGATTGCTATTAAAGAATGTCTGCATTTCACAGACTGGATCAAGGTGATGCATTTTGGATGTGATCAGGAACAGCGAGAGGTTTTGGTCTGACCTTCTCAGATTACAATTATGTGGTGGTTTTGTGCAAGTACATGTTTATTCTGAAAGCGTGCTCATTGATTTTGAGTAGGCAATAGACCTGACATTGCTGTGGTTAAGCAGTGAACCCTGCCTGCCTATGCTGAGAAAGTTTTGCCTGATAGGACTAGTGGCAGATGTGACTACTTCCCAATTTACATAAGAAGCTGCTCTCCACGCATTTGGCTGACAATGAAACCCGCACACTATGCATCCATACCTGGAATGGTTTTATTTATGTTTTTTTTACCTCTGGCTTTTTCTTCTGTTTACAGTTTTCTGTACATTACTGTGAGGCAGGGCGCTACACTGACTGACACACACAATACTATATTCAAACTGAATTTTGCACATTGCAATAATATTCTGGAGGGTCAGTTTGTTTTTCTGGGAAATGAGGCAAACAAGTTCTTTGTTGAGATTATGTTAGGTGAAGTTTTGGAAGAGCTGAACAGGACAATGATACATTTCAGTTCAGCACATGTTACTGCTTTGTTGGCTTTGCATTCAGGGCTGCCTCTTATCATAGGTTTTCTGTTTCAGAATAGGAACCTTGTATTCTAACCTTACATTAGCATTAGTATTTTCTTTTTCAAAAGAACCCTTCATATTCTGAAGTAAATCTGTTTCTGCATCTTTTTTTTGGCATAGTATTTCCCTAATGATGTGTGATTATTCATACTTCTTAAACCACCCAAAATCACTAAACTTACAGTTACTACTTCTAAATGTTGTAAACAGGTCTTGAGTTTCCAGTGCTGTTCCCAGCACAACCAACGTAAATGCAGGATTTGCTTCCTAGTAATAAATAAGGAATATATCTCATATTTTTACTAAAGATAATAAAAGGATACCAGGAATAAATAGGTATATTTCATAAAGTATTCCTCCCTTATATCTGTAGAGGTCTATTCAGGCATTCACTAGTCACTTGTTGCCTTCTATCTAAGCGCATATTCAGCTCTCAGTCCTTGGGTTTCTTTTATCTTTGCTGGCACAAGAACAAGTAGATGCGGAGGAGCGGCTTTACATAACATTTATGTGCTGCTGGCTGGGGTTGAGGGGGAGGCAGAGCCAGAGGCAGAGGTGGTGATACTGTTGCTCTGTTGAGGAAACCCAAGGTGGTTTCTCAGGCCCTGTCTTTACCAGATTCAGGTCCTCTGTCTCCCTGGAGAGGATAAAATATGAACTGAGGGGAAGAGAAAGAAGGTAACTGGAAGGAGACCAAGCAGCAGAGGAACACACTTTTCCATGCTTATTTAAAATACATACACTTTGTTGCAGAAAACTAGGAAAACCAGACTAAAAGGGAAAAAGATTCAGTTTATGCATTTTATAAGAAGACAGTGCATTAAGAAGAAGCATCTTAATTATTCATCTGATTTGTGAAGAGAGGAGAATTCATTGTTCCTGTTTCTCTGCTTATAGTGAGAAAACTAGGTACGCAGAGTTTGACCCAGTCCAGCCAGTTCTTTTCCAAGCATGTGAGATGACAACATGAGCCACATTTAGTTACAAAGGTGCCAGCTTTACTGAGAGGTCTGTATACAAGTGCAATATGTTTCCCAACAGAGATGCAATGCTGTGAAGTGCACTGCCAATGAACATGTCCCACTTATTTTACTACGTAACGCTTCCACGCTTTTTGGGTCACAGTTCAAGAGTGGTTCAGAGTAAAGAGTGCCACCTACTCATTAAATTGTTTATTACACTAGCCATCTCTTGTTTAATTAGAGGGTTCTTATACAACAACTATCCAAGTCCAAATGTGATGAACCCATAGTTCAGGCTGCTGTGGTTATATTGGCACATAATGTAATGATGTTGGCTCTTGGTTAGGACTCCCTTTCACAGTTGAGATCTCTGCTTTGACCGACTCTTTTCTGTCTCCTGGTTTCTGACCAAAGGTATCCCTAAGTATTATCTTCATTCTCAGTCTCTGCAATCCGTTAGTGAGGTGAAACAAAAATAAGAGTTTGGGAGGCACTTGGGAAGGAATGCCAGGTGTCCCCAAGAAGGAACTGGTATGAGAAATGTTCAGTAATGTTCTGGGGTCGGGGGGCAGAAGCAGGCGTCTATGGAGAGGAATATCTCTCTTTTTCTTCTTCTCCAGCCTTCTTTTCCCACAGAGCAGCTGACGTCATTCTCCTCCACCCCCCTGAAGAAACAAGACCTTCCATCTTCCCAGTCATGGTATACAAATCCTTCCCATATCCCTTGAACACAGTTCTCCTTGCCCTGTGAGAAAGCACTACTCTTATCCCTCTACTTCTTGAGCAGAATGGAAGAGGAAGTTTGGAAAGAGCTTTCTCCTATTGCAGAAAAGAAGAGACAGAGGGCCAAGAAGAAAGGCCCAGAGAACAGTTTTCCTACATTTTTTTTCTACTTTAAAGCATACAGCTCACATGTGGCATAAGGGCAGTGACTGCCTCCACACATCCTAACCTCTCCTATAGTGACAGCAGTGGTGCAAAACCGTGTCATTAGGAGGTGGGGATGGGATGCTGACACAGCTCATCCCTGTCCCCTCCCACAGATGCAAGGTAGGCATCCCGTCACACCCTGCACAAGGCTCCTCTTACATAGCCCCAAACTGGGCACAAGGTGAAAAAGCAGAGTTCTTTTCTAGTATATACAATGCATCATAGGATTTTTGTCCTCTAAAATCTACAG